TTTTTTTTTTTTTATATTTTTTTCTACCTTTTTTATTACTGTTTTTTTTTTTTCTTTCCAGGGGGTTTCCTTTTTTTTTTTTTTGGGGTCGGTTTCCCCCCTTTTTCCCCCGGGTTCCCTTTTGGGGGAGCCCCCCCGGGGGGAAAACAATACCCCCCCCCCCGGGGAAAAGAACAAAGAGGGGGTGGAAAAGGGGGGGTTCGGAAAGGGCCCCCCCAAAAAGTTGGGGGGGCTTTTTTTTAGAGGGGTTTTCCCCCTTTTTTGGGGTTTTTCGGGGGGGGGGGGGGGGGGGGGAGGGCTGAGGTACAGCGGCCGTGGGGTGGGTGGGTCACCGGCGACCGCTGTTGTTGTCGGGGGTATTGGACGAGTTTGTTTGCACGGGACAGGTGGGTGGAGGAGATCCGTGCCCAAACGGAGCGCTCTGGAAACGCAGCAAGGAGAACCCGTGGGTCCCTTCCACCATCTCGGTGTCTTGGACATTCTTTTACCTCAGTCTTGGAGCAACATGCTTTTGCTGGTGAGCTTCTTTGCGCCAAGCGCTGAAGGGCAACGAAGGAAGCTCGCGACCCCCCGCTGTGCAAAGCTCTAATTGATTGCGCGGCAGAGTTCTTCTGGGGGTGACATCGGATCATATCTTGTTTCCCGTTGCGGAGCAGGCGAGACCTTACGATTCTTGGTGGGGTGGTTGCACACGCACTACAGCGGAGAGGGTGCTCGTAAGCCTGCTCCCCCCCCCAGCAAAATCGTGTACCCCGTTACACCTGCTCGTTGGCCGTGTGTCCTTTTCGCCCTCTTCCTTTCTCACTGTTCATGTCCCAACGACACGGAGCGGACTCACAATTCCACACACCACACACCGTTCATGCGTGCTCGTGTGATATAAATCAATCAGGTCCTCGAAGACCAAAAGATCAACAAGGCGAGGAGGAAGTGGCAGAAGCAGACGGAGTTCCTGTGCACGATAAAGTTCCGCAACAGCCTCCCGGACCCGCCTTTGGGCCCCCACTTTCTCGACGTTCCCTTAGACCTTCAGAGCTACGTCAAGTACAAGCCCACCACTCTGGAGAGCGACTACAAGTGGAAGGTATGAGCGCCTCGGTAGACATGCATGTGAAGCAGAGCGTCGGTCATCTTTCGGCGGTCCCATTTTGTTGAGGTATGTATTCGTTTTTTACGATACAACGGCTTTGCCCTCCAATCTCCTTCTTGTTTTACCTCGTGTTTTGATGCCCATAGAGGAATGAGGGTAAATTTCTGCGTGAAAATCGGACCTGAGCACCAAGTGTGTTGGAGGACGCGAAACCATAGCAAACCAAAGGAAATATGTTCTGAGATCGGCGGTACTGCAGTTGTATTCCGGGAAAGCTTCCTGAAAACACTCACGGGGTGGCGGCTTCTACTTTTGGCATTGCTAACGGCGTCTGCCCAGCTACTGGAATAGTTCCTTCTTCCGCACGCAACTCGTTAGCTCGAATCCGGCTTTGGTCAGAGGACGCCGGAGGGGGGTTATTTCCTCTTGCCGAAGTTCACGTTCCTCGCGGTCGTGAATTGTGGAGTTTTCTGCTCGACCTCTGGTGATGTTGACCTTTGGGGGTCTGGTTTCAGCCGTTATCTCTTGTTTGTTTGCTGCTTTCGAGTTTTCTTGTGGCAAGTTGGCTGAGAGTCTTGGCGACCTAGATGTGGGTGTAAGAGAGCAGAGCAAAGGGGCATTGTTCAGGGGCTTCGGTAGGAAGAATGAAGTGAAGGCTTAGGTTGCCGGGTTGAATCTCTGTAGTATTTATAATAGCAGGGAGATAAGTCAAGTCTATATATTCCCTTATTTAGTGTAATAGGCGTTCGCCACCATTACCTACCGTTGTTTTCCAGTCGATATGTTTTCGTCGCTTCCTTGCTGACGCGCTCCCCCATCTCTCTTTCTTCCCGTCTTGTTCCCGTAACCACTGTCTTGTGACACGCATTCTTTGCGGGGGGGGCATGGGTTGGCTGCTTGGGGTCATGGTGCAAACTCGGCATGCGGTGACGGGGGGCGCGCGGTTGGGACACACACGGGGCAGCTGCACTACGAGCGGGACCTCGGAGTCCCCATCGACGTGATCGATCCGCGAAATTACTTGCTGCCGAAGAAAGCGGTCCCGCTGCCACCGGAGGACGAGGCGCTGCTCAATTGGCGAGAGGGAGATGGACCCGGCTCAGGTAGGATGCGGATAGCATATGCACAGCAGTACGGTCAGTTTTTTTTTGTTCATTTTAGAATCAGGTAAATGAAGGGCCATTCGTACGTTTTCCGTCGCCCGCCCGCAGTAATCCTTGCTTGCGTTTTTTATGGTTGGCGGTAGTAGTGGTGGTGTGGGTGTATGTGTATGTATTCCTGAACGCATCAGTGCACGGGGGCATGCAGAGAGTTTCCGCAGATTGAAGAGCTATACCTGCTGTACTACTATTCTCTGTCCTATGTACCGGGAGTAGCTTCAACCCTTTGCCTTCCTTTTTTGGAGTCGGTTGTTCATCTGCTTATTCCGTTGCGCAGTTTTTGTTTTTGTTTCTTAGTATGACCCACCGAATCCCTATCTGTCTGAGAGTCTTAAGATAGACTGGCATTGAATCCATAGCGTCGGCGAAGGCTACGTGTATTTCCACGATTTCCCGAGCAGCACACAGCGATATGTCCCCCGTGGGTAACAGGGTCAACAAGACAGTTTGGTCGCCATCTTGTGCATCTATCTGTTTGTTGTCAGTTTTTTTTTTTTTTTGTTCCTGTGCGGCACGAAAACCACGCCCCCACTAGTGCTTGGGGGTTGGTCGTTCATGTCTTGTTTGCTCGATTCGTTGTAACTGTTGTTGTTTTGCCGCCATACACCATGTCTTGTGTGCTCGATTCGTTGTTGTTGCTTTGTTGCTGTTCTTTTGGCGCCATCAGTCATGCCTTGCGCGCTCGATTGGATGTTGCTGTTGTTGTGTTGCCGCCGTACGTCATGTCTTGTGTACCCGATTCGTTGTTGATGCTGTGTTGCTGGTGTTTTTGCGCCGTTAGTCATGTCTTGTGTGCTCGATTTGTTGTTGTTGTTGCTGTTGTTTTTTTGCCGCCATCAGTTATGCCTTGTGTGCTCCATCTGTCGTTGTTATTTTGCCGCCATGACCATGACCATGAGCAGTCAAGAAGGAGGACCTCTCGACCTCGGCCCGCCGTAAGACGGTGGACACGTCGGTCACCTGGCTCAAGAAGACGGTGTACCTCACCAACGACCCCTTCGACCCCGTGCACCAGTTCAAGTCGGAGCAGCAGACACAGGTAAGGACATCGCAACCACGTCGTGTTTTGACCCATCCACCCGTACAACCGGAGACCTTACACGCCCAGTCTGATGAGAAATATACGTCTTGCCCGCAAACGAAGACTGATTGTTGCGGCTGTGTTGGGTACGTTGGCTTGGTGCTTTGGAGTGGCAAAAAGTTGTCGTGGTGACTCTGTCGTGTTGCTACTGTCCAGAAATACAGAAATGCACGTCTTGGTCCAAACGAAGATTGACCGTTGCGGTTGTGTTGGGTAAGTTGGCTCGATGATGCGTTGGAGTGACAAAAGTTGTGGTGCCCTTTTTTTGTTTTTACGATGGCAGGCGGACAAGGAGGTTGAGCTGGAGAAGGAAATCGCGCGGGGGAAGAAGCAAGACCGGAAGATGCTCATCGAGGAGTCGTTTCTGCATGCCAACAGCAACAAGCCGGTGCGTTTCTGCAGCCTGCCCACGCCCTTGAAGTTGCTGTTCGACCATCCCTGTTGCGAGCTATGTACAACGTGTGTTCGGTTCACAACTTGCATCTCGACCGCAACATTGGTTCTTGTCTTTGCGTTTAACGGGTGGAGTGCGCGATACCCCTTACGCGACTGGGTCGATTTTACTTTTTTTTCCCGGCTCACTCAGCAAATCGACCTCACGGTATCACTATCGCAAAAAATGGATACAAATCTCGGCAAATTTTACCCTTCCGTCCTAAAGATAGAGAGGGGTTATCTTGGATGCTATCGTGCATGTAGTCCCGAAAACCCTTTTCCTTAGAGCGAAAATTGCACACAGCACACGAACCTCCTTTTTCTCCCAATATTCTGAACCACACAGACCGCAGTCACGACTACATCAGGCACCGAGGCAGTATGTTAGCATCTGCTCCGGTGTGCGTTTATCTCTGCTCTCCATCGAGCAAGCGGGACCCCGGGTTGTTCACATGTTGAGGGTGCTGTATGTACCCTCCCGTGGTATTTTCCGTTTGGATCTTACAGCAGTAGGCAGTAGATTGGATCTGGAAAGAAAGGGCATATCTGCCACACCAGGGACGTACTGCGTGTACCCCGGCGCACATTGCTCATATGTGTGCTTGTGTGGTGGGCTGCCTCTTTGGTCTCTGCTGGCCTTTACGGCGCATGTTTTTTCTCTTAGGCGAGGCACGCGAGCGATCTTTCGGCACACAAATTTATCGTGCCTCTATCGTGCATGTAGTCACAGAAGGGTTAAATATGATACCCCGATTGTCATGCTGTCATTTTCCTGCCATCAATGATGCACAAATTTCTTCGTTGTCACGCCCACGACAAGTATCACCGTCAGAGCTGCTGAATGCAACGCCCGCGTTTGTTCACTCCCGCTGTGCCTTTGGCCGCATGCGTGCTTTTTTTATTGTTTGTCATCAGCTGGTGCACCAGGACGCCAGCAAGAGACACCTCACGGCGGAGTGGGTGATGCCGGTGATGCCGGACGTGTCCCTGTGGCCAAACACCTATACCACCGTGATGTTCGACAAGGACCCCGCGGCGGACGAGACTGTCAAGGGGTCGGAGGTAAGACGGGACTGTAAACGGGTCGGAGGTAAGACGAGACTGTCAAGTGATCGGAGGTAGTTTTAACACGAGATGAAGAGAGAGTTGATGATTCTGTATCGGTGCTTGGCCGCCCTACTATACTAGATAGTTCGATCTCTTTCCTTTCTTCAACAAGAAACACTAACACTTTTTAGGTCTTTGGTTGCACTGTAAATTACTAAGTATTTTTTTGTTGCTGGTTTTGGGGAGGAGCGTGTCCCGCCTCCGCATTTTTGGTTGAGGGCGCCATATCTGCTTTCATTCGCCCTCACCCTGCCGGCTTATCTGCATGTTTTGTGTGTGTGTGTGTTTCCCCTGCTTTGCCGCTTGTGTTGTTCAGGCTCGCAAGCGGAAACGTGCGGGCGAGGCTTTGGTGTGCAACGTGAAGCGGACCACCTTCGAGGGAAACTCGCACGAGGTGAGCTACTGGTGCTGGTGCTGGTGCTGGTGCTGGTGCTGGTGCTGCTACCATCACCTACTATTGGTGCTGCTGTTCTCACTTCCACCTACTAGCAGGCTGTTGTTGTTCAACTCTGTGAGCCGTTATATAGGAAATAAATTATCTTGAGTGTCGGCGCGGTTCGCCCCAGCCATATCGCGAGGCCGAAGTGTTTAATATGACGTAGTTGAACGCGTGGGTACACGTTGAAGATGACATGACCGCCGGAAAGCCAACCACTCTTGGGAAGCAGGACCCCCCCTAACAACACGGGCCTGTTTCATCTGCGCGTCCCCCTTCCGCCCCCAAATTACGCCGCGTGGGGTATGGCGGGCGTTGGTGACCCTCCGTGTAGGTGATCACGGGGTCGTACCTGATGCCGAAAGGCAAGGCAACGAAGAAGGGAGAGGGGGAGGAAGAGGAAGAGGAGGAGGAGGAGGAGGAGAAGATGGACGTGGAGGATGGGAGCGTCGGGTACGACTTCGTCAAGGACTACAAGTTCAACATCGTGCATTACGTGAGTTGTTGCCTTACCGGGAGGGGGGGAGAGGGTCGTCGATGTGCTTGGCTATTCTTGAGACGAAGATGACCGCTGGAAACGCCTTGTATTGGCAATATGTGATCGTTTGTGCGGTTTGTCCGGGGGAGGAATCATCGATGTGCGGAGCTGTTCTTGAGACGAAGGACGACTGCTGGCAGCATTCTTGTATACGTACGCGAGATGGAGGCTGTCGTTGGGGTTGCACCTCGTGTGGCTTCCCGCAACATTGTACAGAATCCTAGGGGACATCCCTTGGTTGTGGGCAAGCCGTTCGTGCGTTGCCCACCCCCACACGCAGCATGAATGATGTTGTAAATTAAACTCCAACTTATGGCCAATGAAAAACTATGAGGAGTGCCGAGTCTAGGAACTCCGTTTTACTGAAACGGCAGACGGCACTCGAACAACCCCTTCTGGTATCACCTGTGCCTCAGAAGTTCCCTTCAAAGCGGAAGACGCAGGAAGCATCCAGGTATAGGGTGGGAGGGCGTCAGTAACACCGGGTGATTAGCGCCGGTGGCCCTATATAGCGCTGGTGAAATTGCTGGGCACAGGCTGAATCACTAAGTCATTCTGTGCCTCGAATAGCACGGTCCCTCTGAATAGCGCGGGTCGATGCGCCGGGAACATGCCACCGTTATTGAGTATCCCCCCCCTATATTTGTTTGTTGATGGCGTGCCTCGTCGTAGTTGTGAGTGTTTCAGCCGGCTGTTTGGGTTGTGTTCTCTGTCGCCCCCCCCCCCCCCCCCTCCCCCATCTTCCACACAAAATGTCACTACCCAATTACTTCACCAACACATTTTTCATCTCCTCCAGCTCTTCCTTCTAATTCAACA